TCGAGTTGAACAACCTTTTTCCGTGGATATTTGGTGGTGTTGGACTAGGTCAGCAAACGTCCTGACACAAAAATCACTTTTCTTGATTCAATCATGGTAGCTTTCCAAGAGTTCCCTCTTCTCTTCAGATATGTGAGAACTGAGCAGAGTAGGATGAAGTCATATACTATTTGATTACTGTTGCCATGATTTCAAGGAAGTGAATTCATGGGGATATGGTGGAAAATACAGGATGCCCAGTTAAATGTGAATTTTGGGTAAGCAACAAATAATGTTTTCATATAAGTATGTCCTATGCAGTATTTATTTAATATAAGTCTTTAGGACATATTTATATGAAAACATTATTTGTTGTTTACCTGAAATTCAAAAATAACTGATATCTTTAATTTTTACTTGCTAAATCTGGCAACTGTAATGGGGGAGGAACTTGAACTGTCCTTTAAAATTTTTAATTTAAATTTTCCACCCATAGCTTCCCTACATTTTAATGATACTTAATACATTGCCATAGTAAAATGTACCTGTATTTCTTCCTGGTAAGTCTTCCTTTGCATCATTTAAATTAAGGAATAAATTCCACAACATCTAATTCACTTCTAATTCCCGTCTGTGAGTGATTAAAAAAAAAAAATGTCTTGAAGTTGAACAGCTTCAAAATATGCTAGTCTCTAGCAAAGACTGGAATGTACACAATTTAAAAAAAAATACAACTGCATCTTTTGACAATTATTTTTACTTTGTCTCTTATCAAAGTAGAAAAAAAAAGCACCAACACTTCACAGAAACCCCAGTGGTCACTGGTTCTGGTCCCTCAGTGAGATACATTGTCTTGCTCTGGGCTTGGCTGATGTTTAGTCTTGCATTAAGATCGAGCACGTAAAGGACCCCCCAGGCTGCAACACAGTGAGTGGAATTATGGTTTTGCCCATCTAGATACTAAACTGAAGTGAGGGTCAGCCAAGCAAGTGTCTAGAGTTCCACTGGTTTAAAAGGCTACAATTATACCATGGAGATAACATGTAATGAGAAGAAGTGCAATCTGATAAAGAAGAATACTATATTTACCAAAACTTCTTTTGAGAGAGGATTGTAGCTATCATAGTTGATCAACAGAAATCTTTTGACAGCTCCTTGTATGAAGAACCAAGGATATTGCAAGGAGCACTCTAAATGTTCAATTGACTGGAATTTAAATTTGGCTCGATGGAGTACAGCCATTTGGGGTCCAAACAAAGTACTGGTTACCAAGTGGAAAGCTGAGGTATTGTCAACAATAACCCTCTTCCTTGGCCCTTTCTCCACTTTTCCTTAAGCTTTCAGACCCAAATTATGTACTTTTCCCAAATATGGAAAATTATAACAGGGCAGTACAAAGAACACAAGGACCGCTATGCTCTAGTCCAGGCCACCAGATGTTTTGGAGAAGCGGTTGTCAAGATTTAGTGAATATGAAAATCCCCTGGAAGGCTAATTAAACCCTGTGGGACTCTACCTCCAGAGTTACTGATTGGGTAGGTTTGGGGTGGGGCCTGAGATTGTACATTCCTAACAAGTTCCCAGTATTGCCATTACTAGTCTGAGAACCGTGGTTTGAGAATCACTGTTTCAGAATTTATATTCTGATATCCTACCCAGTAAAGGTCACATATAGTTAGGGGTTCTTTTAATTCTTGTGTTTTGTTTTGCTTTGCTTTGCTTTTTAAATTCCCTGTTCCAAACCAAAGTCTCAGAAGCATTATAAACGTTTGTTAGGGCTGAAGTCCAGAGTTATAATTGTACCTATAATTGGTGTTTGATGACTTAAAAAGGGTATTCCATCATTCATAGAACAGTTTTACTTTCCTTCAGTGGAAATGGATTTCCTTAACACAGGAGGAGCAGATGCAGTAGCATATATTTCTAAGAAGAGAAAATGATGGCGAGTTTTCTGGGTTAATTACAAAAATTGGGGATCATCCGAATCTCCAAGCATCCCAAAGTGAAAGTTTTGTAATTTGAAAGAGATTAAATTTTGTGTAGCATGTTCTATGGGGACTTGTACGACATTTTCTAATCTTAAAATCTTTTCAGGAGCTACTTTTTACTTTCATGCTACTTTTCATAAATTTCATTTTTTTTTTTTTTTTAGCTTTTATTGCTTTAACCAGAAGCTTTTACATTTTGGACTTGGAAAGGAATTTCTGACTCCATGAGGAATTATTTTTCACACTCAACAATATTTGATATTGTAGATAAAATGTCATACTTTAAAAAAGCCATTCTAAGTTAGCCTGCCTCTGTGACTAAATGGTCTTTGAAATTAACAAGAATATGAGAAGGAGGGCATACAAAAAGGAACTTATGCTAACAGAAAGATTTTTACTATTTGTTGGATTATTTTGGTGAGTTTCTAAAATACATTACAAATCTTTTCTATCTCTAGATACTCAATTAATATAAGCTTTGAATAGCCCTGACACTGTTATTTCTGATGTTTATTTATGTCTGACAAAACCAAAGCAAATAAATGTTGATATTTCTCCTTTGGGTCACCCCTCAAGCTCTCCTCTATATCTATATTGGAAAAACATTGAAGGATTTGCTGTGTTATTATGTGCTTATAAAATACGGTCTTTCAGAAGAAGATGAAAATAAAGAATCATGTCCAAGAACAATATGACACTTTATTACTTTTTCTCAGACTGATACAGATAAGAAAAGACCAATGGGTTAAATGCATCTATGGCTCTATGCCTAACTCCTACCCACAGAAGATCTAGAGATCTTTCCAAGCCAACATTTGGAGGGAGAAGAGGCCCTGAGACTCACTCATTCTAATCATGAACTCTGCTATCAGATTCAACCATTCAGATTTCTTAGGGGATGGTATTTAGGTACTCTCAAATATATTTCTCCAAAATATAATTAATCATGTAATTTTACAGCAGGCCAAAAGATCACTTCTTTTATGAAGCAAGACTGAGAAATGTTACTATTTAAAGAATGTTTCAACAGAATGACCACTGGCATCTGAAAAAGAAAACCAAACCAAAACAAACAAAAACTTCTCCAGTTGGCTTACTTCTGGATGAAATCCCCACCATAGTCAATCTAATGTAAAATCCTCTAAAATTGTAACTCTTCAAAAGCATTCTTCTGTTGCTTTCTGAGTATTTCTTTCGCTCATTTCCCAGGCGATCTGTCCCCCATCCAACTCTGCCTGCCCAAATTCCAGCCACAACTTTTTCAGCTACAGACTCCAAAAGTGATTTCTACTTCTTTTTCTTCTTCAGTTTTATCATCTGTCTTTCTCTGTTCAAACATTAGATCAGTGTAGTTGATTTCAGATAGGGATTCTTGGATGAAATAATTGGGTAAAAATTATTTCATATTAAAATATGATGTACTGGTAGGCAAAATCCCTCCAGGGGGAGCTAGTACCCTAAGAGAAGAGGAAGGGGGGGCAACCCAAATTGGAGTCCGTGTATTGTGTTAGTGGAGCATTTCTTAAGCCCATGTAAAATATCTCCCAAGAGAATGCAAGCAGCTTAGGCCTACATAGACTGAAACTTTGAAAAGAGGAACATTGGAGACAAATGTATTGCTTCTCAACAGATTCTATTGGCTTGAGACCATCTTTTCTAAAAACTAAGTAACTAATGCAAGTTACTTAAAGCAGTGAGATACCTGTATTCCTCAGCAATGTATTAGAAATTTAACTGTTGGGTGCCTGGGTGGCTCAGATGGTTAAGCGTCTGCCTTCGGCTCAGGTCATGATCCCAGGGTCCTGGGATTGAGTCCTGCATCAGGCTCCCTGCTTAGTGCAGAGCCTGCTTCTCCTTCTCCCTCTGCCATTCCCTCTGCTTGTGCTCTTCTATCTCTCTGTCAAATAAATAAATAAAATCTTTAAAAAAAAATGTAATTGTTATAAGGAGTACAGAAACTCGAATTGCCAGCAAAATGCAAGGGTAGTCATTTTGAAGAAAAGTTAATCTTTATTTAACTTTCCTAAATTGTGTACTCACAGCACTGAAAACTGTCATAAACTCCTTGTTTCAGATTAAGTGGATTATTTATTTGTGATAATGGGCACATATACTCATTAGCATGCTGTCATAAACAGCTGCATTCAATGTATTATATGTTCCATGACATAAACAAGGTGTTCATCATGAGATTGTTGTTTAAAATATAGGCCCCGGGAAAAACCAAAAAGCAATAAATGCTTTTTAATATAGTTGTCTGGTCTTGAATTCTAAATTTATTTCTACCCTATTAATACCACTTGTATGGAAATTGCAGGTATTACTCTAGTGAAATATCTTGACATTCAAGGACATTGGAACTTCTCTCTGTTTTCCCATCCTTGGTATCTCAAGCTAGGTGTTCACTGACTCTTGTTTCTTTTCTTGTAAAGGAGGGTATCACGTAGACATGGGGGAGTCATTTATAGCAACATCAGTCTGCATCTGAATAAGCTCAGAGCAGGATTCACTTGATGGATGCCTTCAACCCATACTAGTTCTGAAAGTTTCCAAACTAGATGTTGACTTTAGAGATTGTTTAGTTCAATGCCCTCACTTTACAGATGAAGGAACTGAGATTCTGAGGACTTGAAAGACGTGTTGGAGTCATGGATCTTTAAATAATAATGCTAAGACCAAGAGCTAAATATCCAGACCCCCAATTTGATATAGTTCCCACTAAAAGAATGGGCAGTAAAAAGTAAGTTGACTACACTAAAATGGTTTTGGGGGGGAGGAGGAGCTTATTAGGCAGTGAGGGGGCTAGGCTGTATCTTTTGAGAATTTTACCGATACTGCTTATGGTAGACTTAAGTGCTCGCTGCTATTTTATAATTTATATTAATTCGAGCAAAGTTTTGGCTGCTTTCTTTGGGTGAATATTCTCATTGGATAAAATGAGTGTATGATGATAAATGATGCAGTTCTCTGGGTGCACTTCAACAGAGAAGCAAAAGTAACAGACTTCAAATAGAAGGCTTAGAAAAATTGGGTATGACAGGTAACAATACAGAGGAACAGTGAGAAACTGTCCAGCTTTTATCTTCACTGGAAAGTGGGTATATACAAAGTTAAGAAAGAATCCGTCCATTGGAGCTAGTATGGATCAATCCTTTATGAGAATATTGATGATAGGCAATTTAGATGCCTGCCTTTTAAATGATAGAAAACTAGAAAGTTTACACAAAGTACACACACACACAAAATTGTTTCCATTACAGAAAAATTAAGGAAGCTAATGAAATTGAGGTTGTTATCCTGAAACACATGAAGGCTAAAACAATTTAGATGGTATTTTTAAAGAAATTAAATTCTTCAGAAGAATAAAGGGCTCTTAAAAAGAAATGTCCATCTCCTCTGTATTTTCACACAAAGCAATTCAGGAAAAAAATATGAGATTAAATAGAAGGAAGAAAATTCAGTTATACTCTAATAACAACTAAATATTAAAAACAAGACACCAAGAGCCATTGTAGAATCCCTAGCCCCAGAGATGGTTAAAAAGGAAATTAAAAGTAATTTTATTCGAATGATTTAGGCATACACCTGTTTGAGCAAAGGGTGAGTCCAGTGACCTCCAAAAACCTTGCTAAAGCCTATGATTCAATAACCAAGCATTCTGCTAAAGGCTATGTTGTGAGCCCTGAATATAATATACTTTAACTAATTATACTTGTTTCCTCCCCTCAGGATTCTTAAATGACTTTCTCTTCCTCCTGTTGATTTCTCATGTTCATTTATGTTTATAGAAAAAAAAAGAGACCGAATGTAATATAATATTCACTTAGATTTCCTGGCTCATGAGCAACATTCAGATGGAAATTAAGACACTTCAGGGATTTGTGATTTTAGGTAGTAGCATTATTGACTTGCTTCTGCAAGCGGGGATTTCTTACCTATTTTAAAATTCACCAGATCTTTGTTCTAAATAACTTTCCCTACAGTGTTCAGAGTTGATTTTTGTTGTTGTTGGTAATGAAACAACATATCTGAGTAGATTTTTTTCAGAAAATTAATGGGTGCTATAATCAAAATGCAGAGATAGAAAAGGTCCCCCAAGTCCTAGGGGCACTACTCCCACTACTAAGCATTGTTACTTTAAAATATCTAGTTTTATTTGGAAAATATTAGCTTTTTTCTGTCTATATTTTTAAGCATTGACTTATAAGTGATGATGGTCATGCCTAGGTTTGTATGGATTTTTAATATCTCACATTATTACTTTTTGGGTCAATTGTTTCATTAATTTGGTTAGCTCAATTGGGCACGGTTTTTTGTTTGTTTGTTTTGTTTTGTTTTTGTTCCTTTAACAGAATATCATTTATTCTTTGATATTTTTCTTTTTTTTTTAAAGATTTTATTTACTTATTTGAGAGAGAGAGAAAGAGCGAGAGAGAGCATGATGGGGCTAGTCAGAGGGAGAAGCAGACTCTCCTGCTGAGCAGGGAGCCCGATGTGGGACCCGATCCCGGGACTCCAGGATCATGACCTGAGCCGAAGGCAGTCGCTCAACCAACTGAGCCACCCAGGCGCCCCGTATTCTTTGATATTTTTCAAAGACCGCTGCTGTTTTGAAAAAGTTTTGTAAAGAAGAGGCAGGGTATAAAAGCCGGTGATCTCTTTGAATAAGTGAACGTATTTATTTCCCTCATGCTTTCTTGTTCCAGGTTTCCAGATCAAGCCTTTCACATCACTGCGCTTCCTGTCAGAGCCTTCCGATGCCGTCACCATGCGGGGAGGAAATGTCCTTCTAAACTGCTCTGCTGAGTCTGACCGAGGAGTCCCGGTTATCAAGTGGAAGAAAGATGGTGTCCACCTGGCCTTGGGAATGGATGAAAGGAAGCAGCAACTTCCAAATGGCTCTCTGTTGATACAAAACATATTTCACTCCAGGCACCATAAGCCAGATGAGGGACTTTACCAATGTGAGGCATCTTTAGGAGATTCTGGGTCAATTATTAGTCGGACAGCAAAAGTTGCAGTAGCAGGTAAGTGGATTCTTCCTTTTTCTCCTCCTCCTTTGTCATCTCTTCTTATTCCTTTTTTGGGGATAAGAAAATCATCTTTGCAGAAACACAGTATACATTTTTAAGATAAGGAACAATGTAAAAAAGATGTATGCGTATTCCCTCATGGTTTTGACTTACTTTCTCTTTAATTGCTTGGAAAACAGAAGGATCTCAACAACTAACATAGCATTATGAGATTTTTAGAAACAAAGACTATGTCAGGTTGTTATACTACCAGTGTCTGGGGGGAGGACTTTTCATTAGTTGAAAAATATTAGAAAAAAATTATTTCCTCATTAATTCCATTTTGCAGAATCACTAATGCTGAAATTTTGCAGAGCTTTCTTTTTTCTTTCTTTCTTTTTGTGCCTTCAGAGCAGTGAACTTTAATTATAATGGCTTGAACTGCAATATATAGATTTCCAAATGAGAAATAAAAATTTGCTATTAAACCAAGAGGGCAGCCATTTGATATGGGTTTCTTTTCCCAGGTCCTGTTTCATCTAAAATCTAGCATACTGATAAGAATTAAGACTCATTTTCAGCAATAACATGTGCTAGGACAATTGGACAGGACCACCACTCCAGCACACATTCTTCTACCAGGGTGTGAGGAAGTTAAAATCTGCAAGAGATGTTCTTGTCAGGTGACAGCATAAAAAATTAGATTTTATTGATATGCACTTACTCCAGAAATCCAGTTTTGTGCCACAAAAGAGTATCACAAACCAGACTGTGCCTGAGCAAAGATGTCTTAGGGGGCCGGGTCCTCACCTAGAGATAAGTGGCCAACCATCCTGCTTGAACCGGGACTGAGCTGGTTTTAGCATTTGAAAATACCATGCCCTAAGAACCAAGCCCTCAGTCTCAAGTAAAACTAGAATGGTTGGTCAGCCCACCTGGTGGTATCCTGCCTGCTTTAGCAATGACAGGCCGAAGCACGGTTGCAGAAAGTCCTCTTTACTCAGCAAAAACGTGAGGTGGCATTCTGATCATGCAAACCAAGGCTATCAGCCCCCTGGGTCCTTTGAGTGATGGATGTCTGGAATTTGACTGATGAGCATAAAGTGTAGAGAGGACTGAAAGTCTATGTTAATTATGATTGATTAAAAGGAACAAGTAGAATAAGCCCTGAGGATTAAGGTAAAATCTGCTTTCCCAGAATATTCCAAGGGAAGTGGAAAGGGTGCTAAGGTAGTCCTGACAATTTGAATGAGCTAGGCTGGCATTTTGACACCCGATTCTAAAAGGCAGATGCAATATGTGCTGTGAATGAAAATGACCGGATGCATTGTGGTTTCAGTTTCCCTGCAATCTAGATTCACTTTTACGTGCTCTGTTTCAATGGTGAAATGAAGAATGATCCCTTACCTGTGAGATATTAAAACAAAGTGGCTTCAACTTTCCTATTCTGTAGAAGGATGGGTGGGCCGATTCAGTCACTGAGTTACAGTCTAATATTAGATAGTATCATTTCAAGGCAATAAGGCTGTTCACAGCATTTTAAACACTTACCATGCTGTTTGGCAACACAGCATATACATCAATGTTATGTCTGTCGAGGTTAAGATTGCCAAACCACTGGAATGCACAAGGGGCATATATCTTCCTTGTAATAAAGACCATGGGCCTGATTTAATCTCATTTTTAAAGCATTAGCAGTCAATAAACCAGTCACCTCTAAAAGGGAACAGTCAGCTTTGCTTGAGTGAAAAAACAAAACCAAAAAACCCCCCAAAAAACCTGTTTTGTACCCTCAGGTGTGGTGTAGAGTCCATTTATTTTTTTATTTTTATTTTTTTTTAAAGACTTATTTATTTGACAGAGAGAAACACAGCGAGAGAGGGAACACAAGCAGAGGAAGTGGGAGAGGGAGAAGCAGGCTTCCCGCCGAACAGGGAGCCCAATGTGGGGCTCGATCCCAGGACCCAAAGGCAGACGCTTAACGACTGAGCCACCCAGGAGCCCCTGTAGAGTCCATTTAAAATAATAATGCCTCTCTTCCATTTTTGCTTTCTCAAAGTGTCTTTTGAGAAAAAGAAATGTGGCAAATGAAATCTGTCTTTAATCAATCAGAGCATTTCATGCCGTGATCTTGCCATGCACCATTCATCCTGTTTTCTAGGAACTTCTCACATACTCTTCAAACTCTTAAACCGAAGTGCACACTCAGCTGAAGCAGGAGGGGGAGTAGGAAAGATAAACCAAGGGCTACCATCCCATCCAACATCTTATTAAAAGTTTCCGTATAGCGCGCCTGTGTGACTCGGTTGGTTGAGCTTCCAACTCTTGATTTCGGCTCAGGTCATGATCTCAGGGTTGTGAGATGGAGCCCCCAGTGCTGGACATGGAGGCTGCTTGAGATTCTCTTTTCATCTGTCCCTCTGCCCCTCCCCTCTTCTCTCCCTCTCTCTAAAAAAAAAAAAAAAAAAAAAAAAAAAATCTCAGCGTAACAAGCTACTGACTCTTGGCATTCCTGGTAATTACGAGTCTATCAGTAAGGGCTGTTATTCCATTTGAAAGCAGCGTGGCCTGTACTGGCTGAAACTTGGGAATTTTATCTGTATCCAGTTAGCTCTAGTCTAAAATGGTGCAATATTTCTCTGCCATGGATATTTCTGTTTAGCCTTCTAGATTGAGACTTTTAAAGAGAGAAGCAGAGCCGAACTTTATCTGCAAAGCTTCTCCTTCCCTTCTCCTCTCTATACGTGTCAGAGTGTTGGGCACGTTTAGTAGTTATTCATTAGATATTTGTTTTGCCAGTGAATGCATGGAGCTTTATGCAATATATGGAGTGGTTTCCATTGTCAGGGAGTAAGAATTTCTGTCCCTTTCAAGGGTCCATCTAGCTGGACTAAGAATCAAATTGACATAAAACAGATTAACAGGAGAAAATAGAATTTAATAGCATGCATACAGGGAATCCACACAGACATGGGAATTCCAAAGACACTCAGACAAAATGAGGTATATATGTCATTCTGAACTAAGGAGTTAGGGGTAGGGGTCTGGGATTTCAGAGGAAAGGAATGCACTTCACAGGGCAATAAGAAGGAGAATAGAAGTTTGGTAATTAGAGGTTTGTCCTGCCATATGCGTGGCAGAAATTTTCAAATAAAATTTATTTCCACTAATAACCCTTGTTCTGGGAAAGACCTCCAACTGAGATTACTCTGTATAATTAAGGGAGGGGCAAAAGTTTCTCTTGAGCCCATAGGGTCTCTTTTGCTTTCTGCTCAGAATAATCTTCATGCCAAAGTGGTCCATGTTGGGGCAGCTTGCCCTTGGCTTCTACACTGTCAATGTCATTTTTGTTTTCCTCCTCCTTGACTTCTCTCTCTCTCTCTCTCTTTCTTTCTTTTGTTTTTGTACTCAATGAGATTAAACTTACCTACTTGATGGACAGAGTTGGAATAATTTTATTTATATTTCAGTAGTTGATAAATTATTGGAATAATTTGATTTATATCTCAGTAGTCTATAAATTACTGAACTATTGAGGACTTTGGAAGCAGAAGGTGGACTGGACTGGAATATCCATATGCTACTTAAAAAAATAAAAAAGGCATGTGCCAATTCCTCATTCCTTTTGATACCCATAACATCAAGATGAGCTTGCATCTGGCCAAGCACATTTTTCCTACTCCAGATGTTGCCAGCTGTCTGAGCCTCTGGATTCTCTTCTGTAAAATTGACATAATAACCTACCTCCTAAGGCTGTGCTGGCTTTTAAGTAACATTTAGCATGTAAAGCCCTGGTACAGAGTAGATTCTTATTCAATGGCAGCAGTAAGAGTACAAATAGACCTAAAAATGGGTATTATGATGTTATTACAATTAGTATTATTAGGAAATGACAACTTTGAATATTCCTTGTGATGATACAGAACATTTTTGGAGGGGTTGGGAGAGAAAGAAATATAGGCTACAAATCCTGAGCTATAAATATTGTCATCTTGGATCAGATAACTGCTTTTGCAATCTACAAGCACAAACTGGCAAGCCTGAATTGAGTTTTTAAAAAGTTGAATCTATGCAGTTTGTTGGCAAGCTGTGCCAAAATTTGTTTGATTACAAGATTCATTTTTCACAACTTGATCTAGTGTTCTGTCCATGAAGCCAATATAATTTGTACTGGTCAGACCAGGAGTTCTAGATCATGCAACAGCTGTTATCATTTCAAAAAAAGATGCCAGGCAATCTTCCCCACGGAGCCTCCTTAATGTCCTTCCAACTGAAAAAGATTCACTGAAGCTAAGTTCACTGGAGTTAGTTGGTCTAGACAGAGAGTTTATCATACCTCCCTCTCCCCTGGGGGACAAGGGAGTCAATGCCAGTGTGGAAGAAAATCATATCACTGCAGAGCTCCTCTGAATAATCATGAAAGTACCATCTTGTTTATTTTCCCTGACACCACCACCGCCCATCCGCCACCCAACTCACCCACCCAACCACCCAGCTCCTTTGCCCACCCACTACCCCTGCAGGGCTATGTGGGTCACAGTTGGAACCTAAGTGCTACCGCTCCTTGTATTTACTCTCTTGGGGATGTAGTGGGATCCACTGCTCCTCCTCCTCAGGTAAAGGGACGCTGATTGCAGGATACATCATAGAGCATTTGCATCTAGGTAGATTCTTCTTTTGTTAATTTTTAAGCATTTACATTTTGACTATTAAAACTGCTGACTTTTGTATAATATTTTCCTCTTTGTACAGTATATTCATATGCATTAGCTCATAATGCTCAAAAAGGCTCTGTGATACAGATACCCAAATTGATGGAGAATAAACCAAAAAAAAAAGGTAGTGACTATCTACAGGCAGAAACTAGAACCTACATTGTCTAACTCTGGCACATACTTATTCCCTTATCACTTTGCTTCTCAATCTGAGGACTATATATAAGGACACTGTGAATAGTTTCTTACCTAGTCACTTATTTTTAACCAATAAAACTCTCCAAAATATAAACTAAGGGA